TATCTTTATCAAGATATCTAGGTTTACGGCCACATAATGTTGAAAGACCTGTTTCCACAGGATAATCGAAGGTAAGCAACGTCGATCTTGGTCAGTACCACGCGCTGTAAGCCTGGCACGAATGGTGTAATGAATATTGGAATTGTTATTCGGAAAGATGAATTCCAATTTCCTTTGGGTTAGTTTTATTCAGTTACGTGCTGATAACCTTGAGAAAGATATGAAAAACCTCTTCTCCCACGGCTATGGATTAATTAATGAAACTTGTATAACTAAACCATTATTATCTAAAAAAAAAATACTTTCTAGCTTTAAATGATATGGTTGATAAGCCAAAGAAAACGAATCAACTAAACTACCTATTTAACAATAGGACTGGGAATAGGGAGAAATAGATTTATGCCGTTCCCAAACGTATTAGAAATCACATATACATTTGATTCACTACGTCTGCTCGCTGGCTGTTAAAAATTACTTTATCTCGCAACCTACATAATAACGTTATTTTCTCCGTGTGAACACTATTTTTTTTTTATTGCTTTGGTTATTACAAGACACTGAGTCGATTGACTCTTTGATCGTGAGAAAAAAATGAGTGGAAGTGAAAAATAGCTTTCAATGAGGCTTGAAGTCGCATTCTTTATCCTGTCGAATGGTAAAAAATGCTTTATCTAAAAAATGATATAATAATGAATAGAATATGACACAAAGTTGTAAAACTTAGATGAATGGGAGATGAAAACATAAGAGAATAATGAGAGATTTTGACCCTGTTTAATCATCGACACTTCCGTAGCTGAAGAGTTTCAAACGACGTCCATGAAAGATGATCTCCTACACCAGAACTTATAAATTTTTCTTCATTATCCTAAAATACTCATTAATCATTTTTTTGTAACCTTGAGAGGGTTACTGAATGAGGAATAACCAAAACGGAGATTGGAAATGAAATGGTAACTTTTATAACATTTACAAAATACAATACTCACCAGTGGCATGAAGTAGGTAAACCACTGCTAGTAATGGACTACTTAGACAGAATATTACCCCCCCCACAAACACACACTTAACATAGTGTACAACATATTTATGAGGATTGGGACATAGCTTTAGCGTTCATAGGTATGGTATATAACAGTCCCTTTCTTTCTTCTTTCTTTATTTCTTACTTCCATACTCCTTCATTGTCTTAAATCTTTTTTTTTCTGTTGTAACCTCGAAATCACTAAATGAGAAATAACCAAAACAGAGGTAGGAAATGAAATGGTAATCTTTATAACATCAACAAAATACAAGACTCGCCAGCGGTGTCAAGTAGGTAAACCACTGTTTGTGATGGACTACTTAGACAGCATATTTCCAACGTATTTATGAGGACTGGGACATACTCATTAGTGTTTATAAGTATGGTACCCAATGTATGTAAAACGCCAACTGTACAGAAAAAAAAATGAAAGAAGATGCGTAAAATAAAATAATTAAGTTATATATTTCACTAATTTATTTATTTTAAAATCAAAATTTGAATTATAACCTTTGTCGAATGATTGTTTCTAAGCTCAGCTCAGATTATCAGATTCACTCTTTGTCACGGAAACCACAAATCTACAACTTTTGAGAATTGTCGAGAAAAAAAGTTTAATGTTTCTTTAAAGGTGTGTCGTCACTCAAGGAAGAACCACTTTTATCTAATTTTGGCTAATTTACTCATTACTCATGTTTGTGAAGCAGTATCTTAAGGCTTGGATGCGAGTTCAAACCTCGTAGAATGTGACATTTATTTCCGATTCAACATTCATTTAATGCCCAGTCATTGCAATAATAATAATAATAATAATAATAATTGTAAATGTCCTAACAGTCGTTGACTTTCTAGATTCGACTTTGATCTTCATAGCTTCAGGGTTAAAAATGAAGTAACTGGAGATCCTGATGCTTCCAATTCCTTTTTATGTATAAATGTGAACGAAGAAATGCAGGCAGCCAGAAGCAGAGAAAGGTAGACAAACATACCAACTTTCTCCTCCCACTCTCTCTATCTTACACACACACACACACACACACACACACACACATATATATATATATATATATATATATATATATATTTGTGTGTGTGTAAAGATGTGATCTGCCCACAAAACAAATATATCCTTAAGTAAGCATAAAGAATAAGTGGCTAAATTTATGTGCATTAATTTACATTCGTTAACACACAGACACACACACATATATATAATTGAATTGATATGAGTTTGTGGCCCTGGGTTTCACGCTTATGCGATCTTTAGACAAATATGTTAACTCTATCACTGATATTGAGCGCTTTCCAATAAGCACCGCACATATATAAAGTATATATATATATATATATATATATGATTGTTGCGATCGTAGAGTAGTGGTTATCGTGGCGGAAAGTGGGCTTTATTTTCTTTGCTTTAGCACAAAATCTCTCGTTAGTAAATGTATGAATCCAATTATACTTATATGAAGCCTACTTCCGTAAATCTTCTTTTATATGCCTTGTCCATTTAAAACATAAATGACTACGGTCTCTCCACAACTTTCTGTTACTCTAAGTACTGCCCCTTTGCTGCCTATCTTTTGTATTGTTCTGCCAGCCATTGACTCAAACGCGTCAAGTTTATTATTTGATGTTTCCCTGTTTTCCTTTCCTTTATTATTCATGTGAGTGTTAAATTCTCCAAACATTCTTTCCTCATTATTTGTACCAGTTGTCTTATTGTTAACAGCAGTTTCCTTGTGGTTTTTATTCCTGATAAAACCATAATATTTGGAGTAAATGTTGAACCGTTATTAATTACAGCCGCATTTGCGAAATGCTTTTCAGTACAAAGAATAGACATTAAATGTCTATTCTTTTTGATAAGGCACGTTTGCAAGTATGAATGTGGCCAAATATACTAAATTCAAATTTGTTGAATAGACGATAACATTATATGTACGCTCAGTATTCATAAGATTTGCTTTAAAAAGACTTATTCTATTTTTGTATGTAAAAAAGCATTCTACTTTCGTGCTTCGTACTCCACATTCCCCATTTGAATATTCATGAAAAGTGTGAAAAAACAAGTTTTCAGTCTATTAAAAGAGTTACTGTTGTTTCAGAATGAATTTTAGAATTGTATATGTTTAGGCGTTTAGAGAATTTGTCAGGAATAAGTAGCCGCTGGTCGGATAAGTGGTCTATTGTAAAAATTATATTAAAACGAAAAAAAAACTGTCGCTAATCAAAACGATAAATTACATAATAAGTTAATTTTTATGTGAGTAGTTATTAAATGAGGACAATCGAAGTTGTAGTTATTTAGTAAATAAATTGACCCCAAATTACTTGTGTATAAGACGAACTCCTAAATTTGGGTTTTAATTAAAAAAAAATATTATAAACAATTAAATAGTTGAAAAAGATATGACTAAATATTTGGCAATCATTTTTGGTCAAGTTGTGACGGCTCAGTATTGACTGTTTTAAATTTAGATTTTCCAAGTATTTATTTAGAGCAAGGTGAATAGTATATAAAACAGCTCAGCCTCCCCGTTGTACTTACTTGTAGGGGCCAACGGCTGAAGATTCACTCGATCTTTGGCAGGGTTTGCTTTTAATCCTGCTGTGTATCTGGACACCGACCTCACCAGAAAAAAAATCTGGTAGGGGAACCGGTATAGTCACTGTTGACCCGACCAGCAGCAGGTGGAACAGGGTTACATTGCACTAGTATCATTTGTAGAGTGTCCTGACACAACAGAATATTATGTCAGGTTGTTCTATAGAGATTAATAATAATAATAATAATAAGCTGTATTAAATAGAATAACAAACTAGAATAGACTATGTTTATAGCAATAAAGGAAATGTGAGTGTTATCTCTACCAGATTGCTCAACTCGCAAAATTTCAGACATTTTGCGCGTTTACGGACCGACACATCCCCCATTTATGGTCCAGACTTTTGGAAGACGGATGCTCTTTTAAGTCACCTTCTCTTGATAGATTGCCAATAAAGGATGAAGAGCGTCTATCTGTCCATTAACACAACAATCGGTTTTGAATTCAGTGTTGTTCTTCGAGATGCGTTGCCAACCAAGGCTAGAGAGAGAGAGATAACTGCTACTTAATCCATAGCTGGAGAAAGGGAAGAAAAAATGGATCCATACATTTCACAAGAGTATTTGTCAGAAAATGAACGTATCACAACTCTACCGGAATTCGAACCCAGTCTGACAATTTCTCTTTTCGAGCCAGTAACCGTTACACCACAAAAAGGAATGTTTAAAATAAACGTGTTTACTCGTTTAGTCAGGATCACACGCTTCATTATTTGTCAAAAGCTGTGGCCTATAAATAAATAAAAAGCAAATAAAAACAATTAAAAGTCAGAATGTACTAAATTACGTCACAAAATTCTTCTAACCAAAGGAGAGTAAAAAAAAACCTCTTCTCTTCTGAATTCGACTTTAATCTTTTGCCCTGTAGCAACAAATCGAAGAGGTCAAAGTGCAGTACCTCCACTCAAATGTTTTGCTATTAGCGGAAGCAAACTACTGCTGTATGTACTGACTAGTCACGTGTCTTTCCGCCAGAATTCAATTTTCTTTCGTATTGAGTCCTACTTCCAAGCTAGTCTTTCCAAATTAAAACCCGCAAAGAAGAAAAACGGAAAAAAAAATATCGGTTCTATTTGCGTGTGTATTTGTTGTGGAACAAACATTAAATTTTTGTATACATGGGAAAGCAGACGTTTGATAAGATAAAAGATGAATTTTTTTTTAATACCAAATTAGAAAAAAAAAAGATTTTATTTACTTACTTTAAAGAAATGTTTACAAAGTAAATGGTGAGTCATGTTTAAAATTATAACATTTTATAACTTTAAAGCAACTGATGTATGTATGTTGGATCTCAGCGGAGTCTACGGTCACAAGCTGCCTGCGGTAGGTGTTGCTGCAAGGCAATTGATGCTTTTCCTCGATTAAATGCCTGGTTCCATGCGTTTGTTTTATCGCTTAGCCTTTCTTTCTCTTATGCTTCCTTTCTATGCCACTGAATATATGTACCATTTTGGTCTTATGTAGGTATGTAAGCAGGTATTCAAATTATTTATTATCTATATATTACCTGTAAATATCAATGCATATAGCTACCTTTTTCGACTTACGTAAGATTGTAAATATTGCTTATCTATTTATATCATTCAGGTCGTAAGCAGGTATCAAAATCTATCTATTTCTTATATTTATTATATATTGATACACACACACACGCATATATATATAAATATAAATATATATATATATATTTATATGAGTGTGTGTGTGTTCTTTTCATTCCGAACTGTTTATCTAGTTGGTCGGAAAAGGTATCTATTTCTTTATTTATCATTCCATCTATCTATCTAATCCAGTTCATTTCTATCTATCTATATATATATCTATCTATATATATATATATTCATATATTTATATATATATATATATATATATAGTTATTTCTTTCTTTCTATCTATCTAATTCAGTTCATTTCTTTCTTTCTATCTATCTATCATTCTATCTAAACAGTTCATTTATATATTTATCTATTGGTATCTATCTATCTAATCCAGTTCATTTCTATCTTTCTATCTAATCCAGTTCATTTCTATATATCTATCTAGTTAATCCAGTTCATTTCTATCATCTATCCATCTATCTATCTAAAGTTCATTTCATTTCTATCTATCTATCTATCTAATCCAGTTCATTTCTATCTATATCTATCTATCTAATAATCAGTTCATTTCTCATCTATCTATCTATCTATCTAATCCAGTTCATTTCTATCTATCTATCTAATCCAGTTCATTTCTATCTATCTATCTATCTATCTAATCCAGTTCATTTCTATCTATCTATCTATCTAATCCAGTTCATTTCTATCTATCTATCTAATCCAGTTCTATCTATCCATTCATCTATCTATCTATCTATCTATCTAATCCAGTTCTAATCCAGTTCATTTCTATCTATCTATCTATCCAGTTCTATCTATCTAATCCAGTTCATTTCATCTATCTATCTATCTAATCCATCATTTATCTATCTATCTATCTATCTATCTATCTATCTAATCTCCAGTTCATTTCTATCTATCTAATCTAGTATCATCTATCTAATCCAGTTCATTTCTATTCATCTATCTATCTATCTATCTATCTATAATAATCCAGTTCATTATCTATCTATCTATCTATCTATCTATCTAATCCAGTTCATTTCTATCTATCTATCTATCTATCTATCTATCTAATCCAGTTCATTTCTATCTATCTATCTAATCCAGTTCATTTCTATCTATCTATCTATCTATCTATCTATCTATCTATCTATCTATCTATCTATCTATCTAATCCAGTTCATTTCTATCTATCTATCTATCTAATCCAGTTCATTTCTATCTAGTTCATTTCTATCTATCTATCTATCATTTATCTAATCCAGTTCATATCTAATCCTTATCTATCTATCTACTATCTAATCCAGTTCATTTCATTATCTATCTAATCCAGTTCATTTCTTTCTATCTATCTATCTAATCCAGTTCATTTCTTTCTATCTATCTATCTAATCCAGTTCATTTCTTTCTTTCTATCTATCTAATCCAGTTCATTTCTTTCTATCTATCTATCTATCTATCTAATCCAGTTCATTTCTTTCTATCTATCTATCTATCTATCTATCTATTTAATCCAGTTCATTTCTTTCTTCTATCCATCTATCTAATCCATTTAATCCAGTTCATTTCTTTTCATTATCTAATCCAGTTATTTCTATCTATCTATCTAATAATCCAGTTCAGTCATCTATTAATCCAGTTCATCTATCTATCTAATCCAGTTCATTATCTATCTATCTAATCAGTTCATCTATCTATCTATCTATCTAATCTTTTCATTCTATCTATCTATCTAATATCTATCTATCTATCTATCCAGTTCATTTCATCTATCTATATCTATCCAGTTCATTTCTATATCTATCTATCTATCCAGTTCATTTCATCTATATCTATCTATCTAATCAGTTCATTTCTCATATCTATCTATCTATCTAATCCAGTTCATTTCATTTCTATCTATCTATCTAATCCAGTTCATTTCTATCTATCTATCTATCTATCTATCTAATCCAGTTCATTTCATTATCTATCTATATCTATCTATCTAATCAGTTCATTTATCTATCTATCTATCTATCTAATCCAGTTCATTTGATTATCTATCTAATTTAGTAATCCAGTTCATTTCATCTATATCTATCTATCAGTTCATTCTATCTATCCAGTTATATCTATCTATCTATCTATCTATCTAATCCAGTTCAGATATCTATCTATTATCTATTTTAATCCAGTTTTCTATCTTCATCTATCATCTATCTATCTATTCCAGTTCATTTCTATCTATCTATCTATCTATCTATCTAATCCAGTTCATTTTATCTATCTATCTATCTAATCTAATCATCTAATCTATTATCTTCATTATCTATCCATTCATTTCTATCTATCTATCTTCATCTATCTAATCCAGTTCATTTCTATTTATGCATCTATCTATCTATCTATCTATCTATCTAATCCAATTTCTATCTATCTATCTATATCTATCTATTATCTATCTATCTATCTATCTATCTATTAATCAGTTCATTTCTATCTATCTATCTATCTATCTATCTATTATCTATCTATCTAATCCAGTTCATTTTCATCTATCTATCTATCTATCTAAATTCTATCTATCTATCTATTATCTAATTCAGTTGATTATCTATCTAATTTAGTTCATTATCTATCTATCTATGTATAGAGTTTTATGCAGGTACGAAGTAGATGTCTAAATTTGATTTTTGTTTCCTTCATTCCTTCCATCTACCTATCTATCAGATGTTATGTAGGTACGTAAGTAATCATCTAAATTTGTTCATTTCTTCATTCATTTCTTCTGTCTATCTGTCTGGTTTTATGCAGTTACGTAAGTACGTATCTAAATTTGTTCCTTCCTTTCGTCCTTTCTTCCATCTATCTATCTAACTATCTGGTCTTATGCTGGTACGTAAGTAGGTCTCTAAATTTCTTTCTTCCTTTCTCCATTTCTTTCGTCTATTTATCTGGTGTTATGCATGTACGTAAGTAGGAATCTAACTTTGTTCTTGTCTTCATTCCTATCTATCTATCTATCTATCTATCTATCTATCTATCCTTATGCCTGTACATAAGTAGGTATCTAAATGCTCCTTCCTTCCATTTATCTATCTATAGGGCCTTATGCAGATACATAAGTAAGTATTTCAATCTGTTCCTTCCTTCCTTCCTTCCTTCCTTCCTTCCTTCCCTTTCTATCAAGTCACATGGTAAGGTAAGCATGACAACATAAAGAAAGGCAAACCAGTGTGGATATCGACGTTAATAAAACATCTATGATACGCCGATGTTATTGAAAACGAGTGGAATGCCACACGGACTTTTGAGAGTGTCTTCACATTCCCGCCTTTTGCTTTGTGCATAGCAGGGCATCAAGCAAGATGCACACATGCGTAGAGATTGTGGAAATCTTATTTAAGGCTTGGATCATTCGTTGTATTCATAAACTGATCATACATAATCACATTACCTAAATCAATACATCAGCGTATATAATAACGCAATGAAACTTGTACGCACGTGCACACACATATAGGGCACCTACCATAGAGTAATGGTTAGTTATATAGTCCAAATTATAGCCGATCGTATACTAATTTCGTTTCATATAGTTCCTGACTAATATGGCCGTATGTCAAATTAAGCTGTATGGCGTTTATCATAGAGCAGATTGGATTTTTTCAAAGGAGTTCAAGTCTCGTTGCACGCTTAAAAATTTCAGCCATGCATCCGTCATGTTTGAACTTTCCTCAGAACTTCCCCATTGATCACATTTTACGTCTCTGGTATTCTCAGAAACCTCAAGTATTCATGCGAGAAAATTGTCCAGCATTCACTGCCATATAAGGGGATTGATATGCCATAGAAATTCAGCACTATTTTCTTTGTTTTCACTTATACTTAGAACCAGGAAAGAAGGCTAATAAATTTTAATACTCACATGACACATTGCAGGCAAGATGGATGCAGTGAAACAGTGAGTAACATACCCAACGTGTTTGTGCAAATGGATGGCAGGGCATGGATTGGGAAGGTTAGCAAAAATACAAATATTGCTAAGAGCTACAAAGGATAGGAAGTTGTGAAGATCCATGATCTCCCACGTTTTGAAGGGACACTCCATATAGAAGTCAGTCATGTATAAATCAAATCTATATATAATGATATAAATAAACACTAAAGCTTATAAAAATATAAAGCGGGCAGGGGGTGCTGAAAAGTTTTTTATTCAAGCAAGAAAGGGCTCTGTCGAGCTTTGGTTATAATTTTGGGAAGTAGCTCGGTTTGAGAATTTTTCAGGCACTACCTCGTGTATGTGGACATTTAATAAGCTTATTTTATTCGGAAACAGACAAATAAAGTGATATTGAGGGTTAGGAAGAATGAGTTAGGCTGTTCTTTTTGATAAAGGGGATTTTGTTTTGAAAATCACTAAAAGCTTTTATCTGGATTTCAAAGATAACTCCTATTTGGAAATACACGACACCCTTCAGCCCTCGTGTAAACTGAGGGCTGAGGGGTGTGTTGAAAATATGAATTAAATCAGATGGAATAGATAAATAAGTAAGAAATTGGAAAATTTGTAGAAATTTAACATGTTTCACTATTGATGTAGCTTTCCTTAATTTTTTTTATGAAGTTAAAAAGCAAAACATATGAGATGTTCCTATTTAACTATATATATATAGAGAGGGTGAGGTAGAATCTTTCCCTATGCTTTTGGACACGGCCGTTGGACGAAAGACATAAAAATACTCCCACATCAAGAGGAGTAGTTGGAAGAGCGGTAGCGGCAGTAGCTTGGACTCGACCGTCGGATGAAAGACATAAAAATACTCCCACATCAAGAGGAGTAGTTGGAAGAGCGGTAGCGGCAGTAGCTTGGACTCGACCGTCGGACGAAAGACATAAAAATACTCCCACATCAAGAGGAGTAGTCGGAAGAGCGGTAGCAGCAGTAGCTTGGACTCGGTCGTCGGACGAAAGACATAAAAATACTCCCACATCAAGAGGAGTAGTTGGAAGAGCGGTAGCAACAGTAGCCATTGCCGGAAACCGTCATTCACGGCTAAACATTCTCTTCCCTAATTTCTATTCTACGTTATGTTCCCCTGTACCAAAAGGTAATAAAATTGTTGTTAACCAATTCCGGTTTTCTATTGATGTTTTTGATAACTCAGTTACAGCAGTTATTCTAAAAGAAAATGGATATTTAAAAATTTAATAAAAACAAATGATACAAGACAAAAACACATTCTGCACATTATTGGATAGGGAAAAGTTTAAAGTTATTAAAATGAATTTTTTAAAATCTTTAAATGTTCTTTTTGGTTTTGTTTTTCCTTTAGATTTTGTATAAATTTAAATTGTTATTATTGATACCAAGCCTTAAAATGACCCCGCCACAAAAAAGTGGTTTTGTTTACATCAATTTCCGAAGTGTAACCTTAAAATAATAAACTTTGAACCTTTTCCGATCTAATAATCTGTTTCTGTCTCTTAGCATTTGTGTTTATTAAATTTTTGTAATTTGCTCTTTCTTTTTAAATAACCCTGTATATGTCATGGTTTGATTACGGTCAGCTTCAGCTGGTTAAGTCAACCGTACATTGCAAAATGCAACCGTAGGTTCTATTGTAATAGTTTCTTCTCTCGCACTTCCTTTAATAATAAATAAACGGTTATTCAAAAAGAAAATGCATATTTCAAACATTTAATAAAACCAAATGCTAAAAGACAAAAACACTTTCTACACATTACAGGATAGGGGAAGTTTCAAAGTTATTAAAATTAATGAATTTTTTCGATTTTGTTTAAATGCTTATTGTTGGTTTTGTTTTGTTTTTTTCTTCAGATTTTGTATAAATTTAAATTGTTATTATTGGTGTCAACCCTTAAAATGGTCACACCACAAGAAAAGTCGTTTTCTCTACAGCAATTTGCGAAGTGTGACCTTAACCCTTTGAGCCCTACGTTCCTGAACAATTTTAACCCTTCTGCCTGAGCTCCACGGTAGATATAAAAATAGTTACAAGTGTTTACCCATCGTTCAACCGGTGGCTGAGCATTAAGTCATTTTTCTCTACCACTGTTCACAATCGTTGGCTGGGAATTACGTCGTATTTCTCTACCACCGGTAAAGCGGTGATTAGGGCTCAATGGGTTAAAATAATAAACTTTCAAACTTTTCCTATTCAATAATGTGTTTCTGTCTCTTAGCATTTGTATTTATTAAATCTTTTAATTCTACTCTTTTTTTTTAATAACCCTATATATATATATAATTTTTACATTCATTTTATTATATATATGAATGTACTATTTTAAATATTTCTAAAATAACCCTTTAATACACATAAAAATGACAGCTTCGATTTAATTAACTACAAAAAGCCCGCTTCACGCTTATCGATTTTTCAAAATGGGTGCCTGTTTATTTTGAACGCACAAGAGATCAATTACTCTTTGCACTTCTTTCATCTTTTACAAAAGTAATGTACCAGCGTGCCGACAGAAAGAGAAAATACAATTAATAGAATGGTGTATGGCCGAAAAAAAAATAAAGAGAAACACAGACAGAGATTGTAATCTGTGTATGGATGAGAAACTGAAAAATATAGAATATGAATAATTTAAAAATAAAAATATTTTCGAACGCTTATGTATTCACTTTGAAAAATGTGAAAAGAACAATCGAAGTTTGCAGCGTCCAAAATAAACAGGCACCCATTTTGAAAAATAGCTATGCGTGAAACAGACTGTTAATGTGTTAATGAATCAAAAATATAATTTTAAGTCTATTCTCACTATCTTTGTGTAGAACAGAGATAAAGTTTTAGAGAAAGACGTTGAAAATATCATAGACAGAGCATATAAGCGCCAAGAACGTTTATAGGAAAATGGGAACAAAATGTAACACTTCTACAATCAAAATGTGATGAAATTTATGGGAAATATGTGAAAACAAGGCCTAGAAAATTTAACACTCACAGGACATATTGAAGCCAATAGGAACAGACGAAAGCAGCGAGTAACCTACCTAATGAACTTGTGTAAATGGATGACAGAGAAGGGAATATGAGGGATAGTAAAAAGACATACATTACTAAGAGCTCTGAAGGGTAGGAAATTGTGGAGGGACATATTCGCTCACGACGTGAAGGTATACAATACATAGAAGAAGACCGCGTCTGAACTTTGGAGATTTAACAGATTTAAGAACAAAATAAGTCAAACTATCACGGTGGATAGAATAAAGTAAAGTATATCGATTACAAAGAAACACCCGAAGAAAGCCGGAGAATATAACAACCTAAGCATTTTA